GCAATATTTTGGCAATAGTAAAGGCTTGATTATGGCAACAGTAGGTGAAAAATAGAGCTTGGGCTTGATAGGTCATCCAAGTTCATGGTCTAGGTTAGTTTTTTTTGTTAATTCTTTATTTTTAAATTTTTAAATTTTTTTAATATTGAGTTTTAAATTTTTTATTTAATTTTATTATTTATTATTTAATTATTTTTCATGATTTATTTCCGTATACTTGAGTTTTCATAATTTCAAATAAACATCACAACATTTTATTTATTTCTAATTTTATAAACATTTATTTTTCATATTAAATCTAATAGAATCCATGAATTAAATTATATATTTAATGGATTAAATTATGAATCTTGATTAATCAAATATATTATTGTTTTAATATTAAAAAAAAGATGTCATTTCAATTTTTTTTTAAAAATCAAACAATATCTTTACCAATCATCTAGGTTATTTATTAACCAAATAAGTTGACTAAATTACATTAAATATATATTAAGAAGTTATATAAAAAATTATTTTTAAAATTTTATTTAACAACTTAAAACTCTTAGATTGAAATAGTTATTTTACAACAATTTTTATATAATTTAATTTAAAACTTGAGTCATGTACAAAATAATCATTTTAATATTTAACTCACTATACCAAGTTGAATAATTTTCTTATATATTTAAAAAACTTTGGTACCACCCGCAGCATATCACGGGCAGTTTGCTAGTAAAGCCTAAAGGAATAAGGAGAGGAATTTGCTTCTGGGCGAATAATGTCTGAATCAGAGTTAAACAAGGTTCGGTACTTCAGCATGTATTGTGTAGTGCATGTTCATCTTCGATTCCGCATGATTGATCAGTGGATATGTATTTGGCAAGACGAAGATGCCTGGGAATACAATTTGTGCAGTGAGCAGTGACTACTGGCTGGTTAATTGCTTTCATGCTAAGTAAATTAGTTAGTCTACTTCTGTTATACAGGAAAAAGAGAAACCAAATTTAAGACGATGCATGCAGATTCTTTATATGTGTGTGTGTGTGTGTGCAGCCAGACCTTTTCTGTTTTTTTTTTTCAAGAAATGAATGTATGGATAGATCCTTATCAGAATTATGTATTTTTCATATTATATATCCAAAAATCCTACGTCTATTTATGTAGAAGGGATTAATTAGATGCAAGTTGATGTATCATTTTTTTTCATGAAACCAATGGCTAGATTCAAACATGGAACTGGATGTATCATCCTTTCCTTGTCGTCTCGACCAACCCTTGAACGCTTTCCTAGAGCATCGGATTTGTCAAATATATTTAGCTTGCAACCCAAATTTAGATAAAAATAAACGCATCAGAGAATTGGCATGACTGAATTAAACCGAAGGTTAAAGCTGTTTCTTGAAAATGATATAGGGCGGTGCGGTGGGTTTGGCTTTGGATCTGTAGTACACCCTTTTCTTCTTCAGTGTTGCATTGTCAATGGTTATTACAATCTTCCCTGGTTCGCTTATGTAAAAAGAATTCCTAACACTGTCACCCATTTTCTTCTCCTTGTCCTTCCTGAGCAGAACTTCGTATGATCCCTCGTCGTCTGGGATGAACTGTTGTTTACATGTCACCTCCCATCCAACCACAGTAAAGTCCCATACAATTGTTACCCCGGCCTAAACAGCAAAGATTGAAGAAGATTAAATCATAGGGAAATGGTTCAACAATAAAATCATAGGAGGGCTTTTTGCACATTTATGAGAGGTGAGATTTGAACCATGATTTCACAAGTTCTTACCTCACCCCTCATGAATCTCTGTGGATAAGAAAAAAACTGTTACGCAGTTAAATCTTTGAATCTTTATGTAACCTTTATACGTAGCTAATCAGTACCTCAATGACTGGAATTTGGATGCAGCTAGCTGAATTTGGTTTGACAATTAACTCTGAAGCTTTGTCCTCTGGAAAAAACTCGGTATCATTCTCTCTTTTCAGACCACCATATTTAACTGGAAGGTTTTCAGAGGATATGTACCTTGACATATGCAATCAAAGTTGGATCAAATTGTTAAAGAGACAATTAGCATACAAATAATAACAATAATAATACAACGAGCATATGTTATATATAATTTGATTAAATACAATGTTGCTCACTTTAGAAGGGTTTTTGTGACTTTTGATGGTCTAGCAAGAACAACCTTCTTTTTACCTCTCTGATGCTTGAGCCTGGATGTTAGAAAACGGGATGTGTAGTACCAAAATGGAACATTTATCAAAATCTGCAAAATGGTGGAAACATCTGATGTCAACTTAAAATATGCAGTTCTTTTGCAATGAGATGATTTACCCTTCTTACATGCTTTTGAATGAGCTCAGGGTAATTGGCTTGAATCAATGTGGAGGCCCTTTTGTGGACTGAACGGAACTCCTCCCTTTCTGGCCCTGGCGAGTGCCTGAGATCCGTAATCTGAAGTATAGAATCTGCCCCTCCAGCTTTGAAACTAAGTTGCTCGATGCTCTTCTCCATGAGTTGGATTCTTAATCTCAAAAACTTTTCGCGATTCTCTTCTGTTCCTAATACTTTCCTGTACAATTCCTTGTCCTTGAAAGCCCCGTACAAAATATAATGCACAGGCTGACCTTGTTTTCCGACGCTATTTATGTACGCAAATTTTTCAAGGCCGACATGTAAATTCTCTTCAGGAATAGCATCTATCCTGTATTCGTTCCGCCAATTTAGAGCATTGCGAAGCATCTTGAAAGCTTCGTTAACCTTAAAGTCCTTTGCTGTCAGGAATTTTAACAGCACAAGATCGGTGCTCGCATGGCCTTTACTTGGCAATAAAGGCACACCCCAAAGGCTAATCTCCCTTTGATGCTGTTTCTCCCTCTCTGATTCTCTCCTTAAGAAACTCTTTTTGGGTTTTTCTAGAAGATAATTATCAATAATTGCGCCTTCCACCATGCTCCTGAATTTGTTCAAGGCCTTTTGCTTTCTCATCTCCAATTCAATAGAAGCAGCTGTTTCTTCATTTTCTTGAACAGCTGATTGATTAAGATTTTCTATGTAGATCTCTTGATCTTGGAAGGTAACTTTTTTCCCATTACCCTCTTGCTGCCCTTTTTTAATCATCCTGTCTTCGTTGTCTTGGTGCCTCTTCTCAATTTTCTCCTCCGTTAATTGTTGTTGATATGAAGATTCAATCATCCGAAGAAATGGGCAACTACAGGGAGCTGAACCCCGAGGCCATCCAGCCGCTGGGATTCAATGAGAAGAGGACGAGAGGGGCGAAGACAGAAATTGAGCCAGAGTGGAGAAGGTAATATGAGATGTTTTTCCACTTTTCGAGGAAGACAGGTGATATATTCAGGACATCTTCGAATTAAAAGCTAGATGTTTGCTGAAGTCCAACCACTTAGGCCCGAGCCAAAATTATGCGATAGCTAACAATAGTTGCGGTTTTGGCGAGCAGGATATTTGCAAATTCATAGACAATCAATATGAATTCATAGTCAAATTCAGGACATCTTCGACTTAAAAGCTAGAGGTTTTGGGTAAATGTTGTCTAGTTTGAGACGAAGTAGTATAATGGAGGCACGTTGTGGTGGATAAGGTTATAAAACCTGTTTAAATATTTTAATTATTTTTTTTTAAATATGCTAATGAAATTAAAATGAATCAATATGATTTTCTTTTTAATTTAGTATGCATTTTGTAGTGTTTAACACCACGTGTATATTTCATGTTTAAGTTTAAATATATTATATGAATATGTTTGATTTTGAACAATTAAGAAAAAAAACACTCTATTGGCTATTTATTTAATAAAAACAATTATAATTAGAAGAGTAAATAATCGGAGGAACGTGAAAATCAATGGTAAAAAGGTACTCGATCACTTATATTAATTTTATTTAATAAAACCATAGAAAAATCACCAAACAACCATTGGCAAAATTTAATATTTTTAAAAAATAATAAATCGTGAAAAAGGAATATACTTTTTTTTCTAAGAAAGGGAGCTGGATGAAGCTATGCACGAGGCCCACGCTCTTGAACTGTACATGCGCATCCCAAGCATAAAAAAATAAAAAGAACAAAGTTGGATGACACGTCGCCGCCTGCCACTTTCAACAACTAATATTTGTTAAAAAATTGGAAATCGTTGGTTTTGAACTTCTAAACCTAATTTCTACATTATTTTTTCAACTCCAAGCATTCAGAATCATCCCAACCTCCACTAAAAACTATTTTGGAACCTCAAGCTCGAGAAACTCAAAAAAATCAATTCTCTCTTCTCTCCCTACCTCAATAACCAAACAAAATTCCTTGACCTAGTGGTGTTGGTAAGGAATTTCTTGCTTTAGCATTCAAGTTGATCTTTTCTGTATATATCTGTTATCTTAGCAATGCTTTTTACTTGTCTGTTATGCTTACAGGATATAGTAGATTCAAAAATTAGTTGTAATCCATATAAGCTACCTCTAACACTTAGAATTATCCAAAAAAAAAAACCAAACAAAATTCTATTTTAAAAGAAAAATCACTTCTCTTATTTGGAAAAACAACAGTCACCTCTTTTATTCATAGCTATGCACTCTTTTATGATCTTTAGATTTTCTTAAATAATAATTAATTTGAATCGAAAGACGTTTTCAATAAATCTTTTTTTGCGAAAGATATCAGTCATTTTCTGGAATCGATAGTTCGGTACTCGTTAAAGCCAGAATACATCTTTTCTCGAATAGAGGAGCCTCCTTCCATAGGAAATAAATTTATCAATCATTGGTTATAAATGAAATAAGACTGCATCCTAGCACCCATAAAAATTTGGTTCGGATCACAAATCTTGTTCAGCCTTTTACTGGCAGCATTATAATAGCTTTTATAATTGTGGTTTGAAAAAAATAAATTGAAGAAAAACTACAAGTTATAATTTTTTTTTATCAAGATTTTAACAACAACTTTAAATATATGATTAAGGGAAGAAAAAAAAAAAACAAACCACAGCACCACAACACAACGCACCATAGAAATAAAAAGTTGATGATACGGTGCACGTGTAAATGGCGTGGTAATAGAAATGCATGTTTCAATTCTTCGGTACGAGATTTCTCGGGACCTTGATTCACAAATCAGATTTTATATTCCATCTCTAAGGTCATCAAATACACGTCTCGGGATTTAGATGATCGGAGGAGGTGAGAAACTGGCACAACTATCACACTGCCTAGGAAGAAAGAGAACTAGCTACGCAGGTTGTAAGGTCATATCTACAAGTTTAAAGATTTGAGCCAACCAAATAAACAAGATGCTAATCTGCGACTGGATTCTCAAGATGGTCGATATACTGACAGGTCAAACGTCAGAGTTCTTGAGCAACTGCAGTAAGGGGAAAAAAACAACACTGGTGTCACAGATCAAACTTGTTGACATGCAAAACCATAACCCGATAAAGTTGCGTGAATAATGATGCTGATGATAAGATAAAGCTCACCTTCTCTCAGAGTCCCTGTAAACCCCGACCAATGCTTCAGCCTTGTCATAAAAGCTATCCTTCAGAGAGATCACGATACTCTGAAAACCACTGCCACCATCACCATCCACAATACCCCTGGTTCCTTCACATGATCTTGCTCGAATGAATCCAGCTACCTTTGCAACATTTAAATTATCCAATGCAGCATCGACTTCATCCAGTATGAAAAATGGTGAAGGCTTGTAGCTGAAACAACTCCCCGGGAAAAGGAGTAATATTAAATTATGAGAAAATGCATATCATGTGTGGATCATCCCTGATCCTCGAGTACACTTTGCTGCTTTATTTCAGAAATTTGATGCATGAGTAAATCATCAATCCACAAGAAGCACCTATAAACTAAAAGTTGCATTAAAAAATAAATAAGATCACCAAATGGAGGATTAAAAGAGAAGAAATTAAGGACCTTGTCGTGATAGGGGTAACTTGTATTAGTTCAAGGGAAAACTGCATTTTCTACCCATGCCAGTTTATATCAAGCATTCAACGCTTTTTCAGCATACCATCACACCACCTTTTGATGCTCAAAATCTATTAAAAACTAAAATCCAAGCCTGGACATTATTTACCTGGTCAACTACTTTTACACGAGGGGCCAAGAACTTGCAGTTTTACCCCAGGAACAAGAAGAGTCAAATGCAAAGGTATTAGAAACCATGCAATGTCTAACTGTTACATTTAAGAAACAGTTCACTGATCTCTAAGGACATACCTGTGGATGGAAAAGAGTAATGCCAGCGCTGCAACAGTCTTCTCCCCACCAGAGAGCTGTTCCATATCTCGAAAACGCTTTTGTGGTGGCATAGCAGTGTATTTGATACCGTGTAGAAAAGGATCATCCTCGTTTTCTAAGCTCAAATATGCCATTCCGCCCAATGGATGATTGCTGCTCTTTGTCAATTGTTTGTAAATCTTATCAATACTATTTGATATGTGGTTGAAAGCTCCCATAAACAACTCGTACCTTTGTAAACAGAAATGAAGTAAGAAGTATTGATGGTAAAATATTGGTAGCGTTACTTTGAGTTAATTAGGGCCATCAAAGTAACAAAGAAAAATATCAAGAAGCAGATGGCATTGCAAGCAGAACAAGATTGAAGATTAATAAAACACAAAACCAAAGAAACTGAAAAATACATATACAACCAAGTATATATTCAGTAATTCCACCAACTATGATTCCCATTTAATAAATCAAGCTATGCATACTAAAGAATAAAGAAGTTGAAGTCAGCCATTATCTGAAATTCTTTTTCCTCTTTACTTGTAGGAAACATGGATATGTGTATTGTATAATCGGTATGAGCATGCATTCCAGTGAATGAGTGCAAATACTCTGCCCGTGCATAAGCAATCATATGTTTTTGCATGAGTGTGAATGCTAGATATGTGTTTATGCATTTTGTCTCTGTATGCAAGTTTATGCAGTATCACCTTTCCTTTTCCACAAAACCTTTTGATGATAAAACAAACAAAAGTTCTATTATGGGAGAGAATGCAGAATGCACCACCAATAAATTCCCCAAATATTTGAATATTCTAGTTTCCTCCTTTTCTCCCCTCAAGGACTATCCTTAGGTTTCTTCTGATTAAGGGGTTTACTAAGCTAATGAGCAGCCTGTTCAAGTTCCAAGTCCAGGCAGTGCAGGGCAGGTGTTTCCCAAGAAATTCCATAAAAATAGTTGATAATTTTTATGACAAGAAATTCGGTGTAAGCACTCCAAGTCTGCTCTTTCAGATAACAATCATTAGGAAGCCAATATCAAAGATACAGTTGCCAAATTCGTAATAAAGAACTATCAAGCATTTGTTGCACTTTTTGTATAAAGATGGTAATTATTTTCCCAGATTGTGTTTACTGACCAGATTTTATTCCTTCAAACACAAGTCAGATAAAAATTTGTCCTGAATCCTGATCGTTCTTACTAAATGGCTTGCCAAAGAAAACTATGCAATTATTACCTTCTCTGCTTAACTCCATTGTAAGAATCAGCTATTTGCTTCTCCTCCTTTCTGGCTGCTTCAAACTCTTCAGTGACTACCCTCTCTCTCTCTCTCAGAGCCTCATATTGATCCAGTGCCTTCAAGTTTGGTGCGGTTTTTTCAATTTCTGATATCAAGGCATCCATCTTTTGCTTAAAATCTGCCTCAATCTTCTCTCTGACAGAAGGTCTCCTATCCTGAAGAGATCTATTTAGCTGACTAAAATCATAATCCGGCCCGGGAATTGGCGAGTCAATGTCCATAGGGTCAGAAACAGTGGGAAGGTTTATATTTTCTAATTCACACTTCTCCACTATATCCTGCTTCCAGGAAGATAGCTGTGCAATCTGTGTCTCCTGTAAAACCATCAGAAAATATGTCAGCACCAATTTGAGGGCTAGGTCATTATATCCTCCTTGCTGTTAAAAGAGAATCTTTCAGTAAGGAAAAAGTCACTAAGAAAATTTTGTAGGACCTTTGAGTTTATAAGACGGGTAAGCTTAGATAAGTTGCTTGTAACTGCAGAACCCTTCTTCGTCCATTCTCGTATCTCATTTGCGCACTCTTCTGACTTGGATTTCCACTCTATAAGATTAGGAAGATGAGAAAATTGTAAATGTGACCAAACAAAAATATCCACTTGAAGGAGAAGAAACAGCAGAAAATAAAAAACAACATTCTAAGC